CAAAACGTACATTAAACACAGCAATATATGTATATGCACTCCGCATATACAGTGTTTGTACACAACTTGCAAAGATTATAAAACACGACCTACTGCTGCCAAACTCATTTAACTTGTGCACAAGTACATCATCTTCCTGACCCTGTTGCTCATAGATACTTTGCTTTTTTCCCCAGGGTCCAGAACTTATAAAAAGAAGTGAAAAAATGTTGTCAGCATAAAGAGTGTGGATAGCATATTGGAAGACACTTGATGATTGATAGGAAGTCACGCAAACTTTAACAGTGAGCATATCTTTTCTAAATGTTCATGAAGTATATACAGGAACGTACAATTTGTCATAGTGGAGAAAACGACCTTGTGGCTCTTTACTCACAAACTCATGGCTGTTTACCCCAGCTACAGTTCTGCCACTGTCCCATGTGCCGCTGTGAACAAGGTGAAAGAGGTGCCTCGGAATAAAACATCTAATTTCCGCATGGAATCTGCCGAGCTGTGGAACTGTAAACCTGGTCTGCGCACAGAGTTCAGCTTACCTGAAAATTAAACCTGTTTATCCATTTTATTCAGATGGGGGAGAAACCCGTATGCAAACTTCATCTCTGGCTCCTATCGCTTTGATTCAAAATGATCAAGGAAATATAAAATTTAAACTAAAACAAGTAACTTAAAGCCAGTTTAAGTCCTTAAAGAAATCCACTGAAAGAATAAGTTAAATGGATGGAAATTCAGAGTTTAGATGTGGCCACCATCTTATGGTATGGAATATTATTTTACTTAAATAGTCACAGACACCAAAATAAAGACAGACAGTTTTAAATCTTAAGCTTTCAAAGCATAAATGCAAATGAGATCAAGTTAAGAAAATCTGCCTGTAACCACTTCTAAATTATTTTTCAATCACCAAATAATTATTTTTGCATTTTTATAGCACTGTCCTTGGAATACAACGCATGCACTCACAAGTACGGGCTGCTCTAGAGGAGTTGTAAAGTTGCCTTTACGCACAGAAAAAGATTATCTTGGGCATCCCGAAGAGGGTGAGAAAGAAGAAAAATGAGCAAAATGTCATGGAAAGGACCGAACGTGAACTGCTGAAACACCTGGTCAGCAGACAAATATTTAGAGAAAGCACCAGTAGGCTGCCAAATTTACACGCCAGGTGGTTTGACACAAAAACAGCTTTTAGGTTTTTACTTTCTTTTTACATTAAAAGAGATTAGAAGGCATGTTAAAAATTGTATGTCAAAAACAGCACTAAAAGAAAGAAATATTTTTTCTGGAAACCCTTGGCTCGAAGGAAGAGATACCCAGGTGTCCGATTCTTTCGGTGGATGTACCTAGCAGTAGTTATCCTAGGAGCATTTCAAGATATCTGCAAGATAAAGAAACAGTGCCCAAAACAAACGTCTCATAAAATCCAAACCCAGCTTAAAGTATTACCATCAGAGAGAAGGTTTCAGAGTCACATTGAAGGGGTCGACCGAACTGATTCCCATCAGAATCTATTCCGTATATACTGAGAGGCAGTATTTTCATTAAGGATATAAATAATGAGAAGAAAAAACATTCATTAGATTTGTGGCTGACAGCAAGATGGAGACACATTTGCAAATCCCTTAGCAACATTTTAAATGTCAAAATCGTCTTGGCAAATTAGAGAAATAGCCTAGAAAAAAACAGCTATGAGGACAAATGTAACACAACATAGGTATGATTAAGCAGCTGCACCATTTCAGTACAGGAAAACTACTCATTAGGGAATTATATGGATAACAAGGCAGCTATAATAAATCACTAAGAGTCACCAATGGTTTGCTGCTAATTAAAGTCTAACATCGTGCTTGCGTACCAGGGATATAAGCAGAACAATAGATAAAACGGAAGAACAAGGTACGGAATACACATAGCGTGGTTTCATTTTCCTCACCTCTGGTAAGGACTTTGCTGGAGCATTAGGACAAATCTTGGGTACTTCACTTCTAGAAAGCATTTCACTGAAAAAAGAACAGTAGTAACAGTCAATGATGCAGAAAACAGGAAAGAACACAAAAGGAAAGCTAAAATAGATTGGGGTTGCCTGGTTTAATAAGAAAGGCTGCAGGAACGTGGAAGTCTTCATATACCGGTACAAAAAGCAGCCAGTCAATACCTGGTAAAGGGAACAAAGCGCCGGGATCAACCGTCTGGGAAAGGTGGGGAGCTGTGAGAGACACAGATATTTAACAGGATTTACTTAACTATCAGCAATGTCATCAATAACCAAAACAACGATTAGATGGCAATCTTGAGCTTCTCTTAGCACTCTGTTTTCTTAAAATTTTATGTTCTGATGAAGATCAGCCTTCTGGAATTTGGAGGGTGGTTTGGGTTTTCAGCTGGTTTTTGAAATACAGTGATGACTTTGGATTTTTCTCATGGGGTAGCTCGGTAGTAGAAATTCAGGTAAGATACATGCTCTAATTGCTGTCTTTATGATTAATGGCTTAGGGTCCAAATTCAAAAACAACCCCCATTTCCTCTCTCACCTGTTTTTCATTGCTGTGTTACCTCAAATATCCAATAATGCTTTGGAATAAATTCTTCCCCTGTTCTCGTCTGTATTGGTCAGAACCGATTTATTTTACCAAGCACCGTATTCACTGTTAGAAGAACTAACACCACAGCAAAGTCACAGCTTTATTTCAGTAGCCCTTAAAACCCAGCAGACTCTAGATAATCTGTGCTATGTTCCATAGTTATCTTCCAGCATCTTTTACTTTAGGACAAGTGAAATAAAAAGGATTCAAGTATTTAATATCCAATGGTGGCAAAAATGGCTCAGTTTAGGAACTGTGTACATACACAGAGGATTGGAGAACCTGCTTGAAAACACTTTCTCTCTTTTCCACATGGTCTGTGCACTGATTTATCTTTTCATCTCAGACCAAGGAATTAGGAGTATTGCATATTCCAGTATTTTCATACTGCACCTTCATACAACTACTCCAGCATTTATGAAATAGAACATGTAACAGAAATAGCCTATTCTGCATAAAAATACTTAAATACTTTTTCCTGGTTCAAATGTGAAACAGATGCTGCAGTGCAGGCAGAGATCTCTATAGCACTTGCCATTTTCTAATGAGTGTAGACTAGCTCATTTCCCCACTCATGAATTTGAGCTGTCTGAATATTTGCAAATGGGTTCTGATCTGTTCCTTATAGTAATTTAAGGAGAAAAAAGGCAGAAATCCAGACAAAGAGGTCTGTTCCTATTCTGACTCTAGCACCATTTCCACAGTGTTTCAATATAGCCAGCTGGTACTTGAAACGTACCTGACTTCAGAGGAACCAAAAACTCCATCCATGATCTGGCTGACACTGAAACTTCTGCTGAGGTTTGGGCAAGAACTTTGCTGCGGTCTACTTCAGACTTCACTGCAATTTCACCTTACCTCGCAAGTATAGCCTGTCATGGTTTAGGGTGATTTTCATACCCCCTAAAACTTGGCTAAAGTGTATTTGAATGGGTCCCTGGGGAAGTTTCGGAGACGCTTGCGTGCATACTTCTGTTGCTTCGAGGAACTTATATTTGCACCTCTAAGGCAACTGTTATTTAATACCATGCATCTTGACTGCTGAATTATTTTTATTTCTCCCCTCTGTGCTCCCTTGCCCATAATTGTTTTCCTAGGCAGGATTATAATAGACTGTACATAAAATAAACCCCTTGCCCCAACGACAATAGCTTCCATTAGCACGTTGACTTTTCATTTTTAAATTACCATGAAGTAACATCATCTCAGGCACTTCAAGTTTTCCCCATTTGATTTAATCCACGTGATTTTGAGGCAACATTTTTGCACACTGTTTCCCTCTCTCTCAGTGTTTGCCTTGTTATCTGCATAAGCCAAAGGTTGCTGAGGCAAAACACAGATACCATGTAAAAAACACAAACTAATACAGGAGGGCAATTAATTGCACACAAATTGGATTTTATTTACATCTCTACAATTTGAGCTTTAATATTCAGCACGAGTCAACGAGTCAGGACCCGACAGCTGGCTACTGTGCGCTGCGCTGGGGCCAGACTGTCCCAAAACTGCATCTGTGGCAAGGACGCCAACCCAACCCTATCACGGCTGTGATGTTCAGCCTCTCTCACTGAACACTTTTCACTTCCATCTTCAAATATTAAACATAAGAAGTAACAAGGAATCATTTGTTTCAACAAGAACAACAAAAAATGCTGAGATGCCTTCCAGGACCCAATCAAACATATGCAACAGTATTTAGTGAAAGTTCTTACTTTGCAGTTCAAGAGCTATTTCAGAGATAAATTCCCTCTCACATTTAAGAGCTGAATAGCTATTAAGTGGGAAGGTTTCCATTTATATTTTTCTAGCTGTAGCTCAAAGCTTAAGCAAGTTAGGCATCTACTAATCTGAAACCAGTGGCATTTCAGGTCTCTCTTGCACAGTTGGTTTGTTTGTTTGGTTTGGTTTTTTTAAGTTAAGTGAAAAGCCTAACTGCAATCTTAAATACATAAATACCTTTTCCCACTTATCTCTACCAAAAAGCTTCCTCCTAATATAATTCAACACTTCCCTAGTAGAAGGAAAACCATATACTTAATTTCAATATTTTCTGTACAATTCACACATTGGTTATTGCAATATTTTTCTTATGTGCTAGACTTTTGGTAATAGTTTGTAAATTAGTAGGTTTTAAAAGCCTTGTGCTTTTCACAGGATTTTTTTCACTTTCGTAAGTTTCAAGCTAGATTCAGCATCTGTCTTTTGGGGCATCTAGTGCAGGTTCTTAGGTGGTTCCCAACTTGTATTCCAGAGCTGTAGAGGAGCGGGTTCAGTTTCGGTTGCATAATTATCAAGAGAAACTTTAGCACTTTGTACAGCCTCGTGCTTTAAGTGCTCTTCAGTCATGGCACACTCAAGCAAACATACTGACTTTCCTTTGGCCAAGGCGGTGCGTGGGATATTCGCAATAGGCCATTCACATCAAACAGTAGTCTCTGTTTTTTTAACAGTTCGACTATGAAGGTGCTGGCATATCACACGCTTCTCTTTTAGGTACCTGAGATGAAGAGAGAGAGAATGCAGTCAAGTAACAGAGAATCCTGCAACACTTGAACCCAAATTCTAACGTGCTAGTTGAATGGCTGAAAAGTGTTGTAATGAAAGCTTTTCTGATAGAAAATGGCAATTGCAATGTGTTTTTTTCTTGACATTTCCTGGCCACTTAGATTCAAAGTGATTATCGGATGGTCATTTGTTAACAGATCCACAGCTGGTACAGACTCTCTTTGCTTTTGACCTCAGGACTCATATATATGTTCAGAAATACCGGTGCGTTACTAACTTCTACCTGTCGTGCATTCTGAGCTACTGTCAGAAGAACTCAAGCCATTTATCAGAAGTGAAGTTTCACACGGACATTAAGAATTTGGCACTAATCTAGCTTAGATACTGTGCTACCTAAATAGTACCACAGTATCTCCTGCATTTACACTTTCCAAGGAAATACACAGCAGCAAGTAGAGACTGAGGAACCAGTCTAAGGCTCACAAGACAAAGTAAACAGAAGTAACTCTGCGGGTCCTAATTTTCTGGAAAGATCCCCCCATGTGTATGTAGTCAGTATTCAATCTGGAATCTTTAACAGCAACAGCTCATCTGGGTATGCAGGATATAGAAAGAATTATAAATCCCACCGAGTTTCACTGAAGTAGTCACACCACAGTGTTTTAACTGCACTCTGCTACATAAATGCATTCACCTCCTGAGCCAAGCCGTAACTGTAAATATGCTCCTGTCTCAAAGTGACCCCACTCATTTTACTTCTACTTACCTTGCAATTGTCTGTTGAATCTCCTGTTGTTCTTCTTCATTTATTCTGTGCAGAATTGACTCCAAAAAGGGAAGATGAAATGGAATATACTGAGCAACCTATCAAGATGGTAACAAGAAATGCCCATTAGCGAGTATGCTAACTGGGAAAAATACCGTGAACTATTAGAATTGATGATAAACGTACATCACTGCTAATCTCTTCCACATCCCTGTCCATGAGAAAAAACTTGGCAATCTTCTCCGAGGGCCCCTGCAAGAGTCTGTGCAGTAAGGGAACGTCTCCACTCCTCAGCTGCTTCTTTTCTGCAATTTAAAAGAAATGTTGTGATGCACAGAACACACAACAGTGCCTCTAGATACCTCATGCAATTGGTAGTCTTTTTTCTTGACAAAGAGCCTGTATTTGACTGATGTGCAATTATTAAGATACCTAACAAGTCTCTAAGACATATTTGCAGGAGCATGTGGCACCTAACTTACACTTTGCATTTTGAAAGAAATTTTATTTTGAAAGAAAGATGCAACACAAAGGAGTTGCAATTTAGGCAGCCAAGTACGCATTTAAAAGACTGATCCCAAGCCCACCAGTTTGACCATGACTCCCTAAAACGAAACTTACTTCATAATTTTCAAACATCATTTCAGCTTCATACTTTGACATTTCAAGTATATGCCCATCAGTTCTCTCTACCACTCCTTCAGGTATTCCTTTTAATAAAGATAAAATTTCCTTCTTCCTGAAGAAAGACAGTGGACTGTGTGGTGGAAGTAAACATTTTCCACCGGAAAACAAGCACTTTAACTAGGCATCTGCAATCCAGGACTACCATCCAAAACTGTCAATTAAAATATCCCGTAACACCACCAGCGGGAGCCTGGCACCCCACGGTTGCAGTGGGGCTGTGCAGAACAAAAGTTAGAGCAGAAGAGCATCTTCAACGCGGCCTTTAAATACAGGAAAAACGAAGGCCTGCTTAGATGAACCAGCCTTACTGGCAGCACACCAGCAGACCACATATCTCTAAGGGGTCTCCAGAAAAACCAAAATGCCACACTGATCCCACACTGCCTGAACTAGGACAGATGCCTGTGACGAATTCCGTCTCCCCAAGTTAAGCGGTCCACACTTACCTCCGGACGCATGGATAATGTAAAGTGCAAATTCATGTGGGCTGTTTTCTATCTGTTAAACACAAACAAAAAGGTCTATTCAGACTGACTGATACACTTTCCTAGCATTTCACTGCCAGCAGATATTCTCTGTGCTTCTGAACTCAGATATTTAAATCAAAGTCTGAGACTGGGATCCTGTCTGTGGAAAAGTTAAAAAATACTTGATTTGGATAAGACAGAAAGCTATGCTGCCATGTTCATTGTCCCTGTACCCCACTACCTCAAAATGGCTTACATTACCGTATTGCCCAAATCAGTAACATACCCTCTTAGACAAGACCAGATCTTTACAGTCTTGTTTCCTTGGAGCATCCTTAACTACTTCATGCAACCTTCAGAGGGCTCACGTATTTGCCAGGACTATCTCCATTAGGGTAAAACCTTATGACCTCTTCCTATCCCCTTGCCTGCACAACCACATTCAGAAAATAGCAGTCCTTTTGAACACCTATTTTTCAACTTAGTCTCTACAACTTTACAACCTGCTCTGTAATTCCATTCCTTATTATGCTATTACTCATAGAAGTCAACTTCTCCTTTTAGTGTTACACTACCAAGTCTTACTAACTGTATGAAGTAATTCTGCAATAGCAAAGTCTGTAGACAAGTTAAAGGGAGAATTATCAAAGATTGTACACTAAGGAGCTACAGAGAATGAAGATATCGGAGAAACACACAATACCAATGGTAAATATATTTCTGACCAGGTATAATCATGTTAATGGAAGACGATAGCAAAGAAACTCCAAGGGAAAAAAAATAATTTCAGACAGTATGGCACTGATCTTGAGCATTGGTTTGAACTCTGACCTCCTGGAGCTTTCTGTGTGCCTGGATCTAACAGAACACATATCCCAGCCACTCGGGCTAACGAGAATTCCCTTTCTTTTTAAGCAAAATACAATTACTAGTGCCCGTCACTAGAGGGAAGCACGGCTATGTGCATCAAACAAACATCCTTTCTCCGTGCTGGGAAACGCTTTAAGTGCAGCAGCGTTTTCCCCTCCTGCGCGTGAGTTTATAGAGAAGCGGTTCTGTAGTTCTTCCTTCACTGCACACTATACACCCACTGTGCCTTTTGTAGACCCAAAGAGCCGTGAAACATTTGTAAAATAAACCCAACCCATTCCTTAAAGAAGGCCTGCGTGGTTTCTTTCTGCGCTCTATTCTATGCGCTATCCCCTCCCAGTTATTTCCTGCCTTTCACACAGCACTGGTGTGACACACCTGAGTTAACATTTGTAGAACACGGCTGCACTTGCTTCTGCAAACGCACAGAGTTACCTTAAACTTTCGAAGCAATTGTTCTATTACTTGTCTTGTTCTCATCTGGCTGTTTATTCTTATTTTGGTTTCTGATCCAAAAGCTGGAGTAAAAACTGATGTCTAGGAACAAAAAAAACAGCAAAAGAGCATGAGTACGAGGACTGCTGTACTCAATTTCTGGGACTCAAAAGGATACAAACCAGCACAGCTCTGGTACAAAGCAAGCTGTCAGGTATGCTGCCGCTGTTGCCATAAAGCAAAGGGCGGGCAGAAAGCACCCCTGGTACTTAGGACCGCTGCGGACCCCCACCGTGCAGTGGCCATGCACACCTGAAACCCACCTTCTGGAACAGACCCCGGAAACAGACCCCAGGGGTTGAGCCCAAGGCCCAGGGACACCGGCCTGGCCACGCAGCGGGGCCAGTGGGGAGTGCCCCTCTCGGCTAAGGGGGTGCGGGGGAGGTCCAGAAGCTTGCTGGGCATTTTCATCTGCCCCAGTACCCAACCTCAGGTGATGAAAGACAAGCACAAACACTCGTACCTCGTAGTTGTAGAAGTGGCCATTAATTGAAAACCTGTGAGTTTCTACTTCTGTCCTCGCTATTGTGGGCAACTTGGCCCTCTTCCGCACGGCCGCCGCATTGCTGACGGCCCTGGGCAGGGTAGCACAATCATGTTCCTGCTCGCTCGTGGACTTCAGAGTGCGGCTTTCATAACATGAATAACCTGGACAAGATGAAACCGCATCAGCATATTGTACAGCTGCTCTACCCTCTTGCCAGCACCCCCACAGGAAGAAGGTTCTTGATGGAGGGATTTCTTTTTGGTTTTTTTAAATTATTTTTTGGGTGGGTGGGGGGAGTGGGAGAGGAGCAAGGCACAGGCATACGACGCAGAGCAACAGGCGGTCTGCAGCGGCCACAGTTTGCTATTTTGTTCACTTCTTGGGAATTATTTCTTTGGTGAAAGCACAGCCTATTAGCACTAGCTGTTTGAAAAGTTAACTGCACAGCAATGTTTTCTTTAGCCAGTCTTTCACTAGCATGTGATATATGTTAAACAGAGACAGTAAAAGATTTCCCTTTACTGGTAGGGAAGGCCTAATGCATCAAATTATTTTTGCACAGTCACAGAAACAAAGAGTTTTTAGTGAACGTAAGAGCACCGACACTAACTTTTCTCAAGGTTTGGATTTTCTTCAGTAGATTTCAATGTCTCCCCGCTAATATGATGTAGATCATCAAATTCTCCCCAGCGTGTCATCCCCCTGAAAGATCAAACATATATTTATAATTGATTATTCCTCATTAACTCAGTGATTTCAATTTATCCTGTAGCCAGGCTTCACATGATACATCCCTATCCCCGTTCAAAAGTTTACAGAACACGACTACAGACTTCAATGTAGCATATGAAGCCAGTAATTTTAGTTTATGCCATAATAAAATTAGTTAGTAAAATATTGTCTGATTAGGGATCCCAAATGTAACACAATACTATTTAGAGCCTGTTGAACATCGACCATGATGCCCCTTAAATAATTTGCAGTACTACTTCATCTATTTTATAGCAATGCGCTGGATTAATCACATATAGGATACCAGGCAGGCATACACAAAACACACACATACTGTGCTTTAGTCACAGGACGCATCCTGTCTGTTACACAGACGGGGACATGAAGGATTAAATTATCACACTAGCCCCTTGTGCTATCCAAACCAGTTCTGTACGAGAGCAGGGAATTCAATCCAGCCTGTTTTAAAACCCACCTTTCTTTACGCCACTATTTCCATAATTCATTGCATAAACTCTCTAGCGGAAAGTCTTTGGCCAGTTACTGCTCTGACTGAGAATAAACCAATTTGTAGAAAAATACTTAAAATTCATTTCCTATGTATATTCAAAACAATACTCAACTAACTCCAATGAACATGCCAAACGACGACCTCAGTTGTGTTCCATACATTTAAAAAGTTCATTTAAGATCAAACAGTCAAGCTGCTCTGCATACCTTAAAGCATGTCAGGGCAGCTTCGCATTTCTGTGATCATGAATTAATACTTAAAGATGCAGATCTCCACCAGTCATCAGTTTTTTAAGAAATAAAAGGCAAAGCCTAACTTTAACTGCCAGAGCAGACCCTATCCTACAGGCCACACGCACCCCGTACCAGCAGACCTGGTCAAGGTAAACAAAGAGAACCAGATTTGCCTGAGACTCGAGTTCTTCGCTGGTTACTCCTGTCAGGTTACATCCCTTAATTTCAACAGCAAGAGACAGGGAGGAAGACTGTCCCTGACTTTACTGGAACTCCACAGCTGCAATGATGGTACAATTAAATCCACAATTCAAATACGTAACACATGCAATCTAAGACAATGGATAATTAAGAAAACGAGCTCTGAAATACAGAATTTATCAGGGGTTCATTCAGGGTAAACATTGGCTCAGCCTCCATATTACACATTACTCAGCTTCAGCTCATCAGATACAACTCAAAATTCACCAACCAAGGCTTGGGAAGGAGTGTTCAAAACAGAAACAAGAAATACTTTAAGAACCTACGTCAGTTTTTAAAGATACGGCAAATCTAGCAGGAGTCAGATCAGCACAATGCATTCAGATATGAAACGTCATAGGCAGCAGCCTGAAGGAGCAGCTGATCTGTGTGTATTTCTAAGGGGTTTTAACCTTAGACTTTGCACAGACAAAGCCAGTATTCATTCCCCGGCTTGAAGTTTGCCCTGAGAAGCAGTGGTGTCACACTTGAAGTGCCTGGGAAAGTAACCTGCGATAGACAATCTCTTAGCACTAACCTACCAGCTTTTTGCTTCATTCTGTAGAACGTGCACCGACATGAGGTCTTTCAGGGGCTACCAACATTATTAGGTGTACATATATACATGTGGGATGGGGTTTTTTGTAAATTTTTATATACGTAAATTTCCCAGTACTTGCATGGGAATAGTCAGTATAGACAAGAGCAGCCTCCTCCACGTTCTCCACTGATCCTAAGCTGAAAGCCAGACAAAGATGCTAGAAAGATGCATCTTTCTGCCCAGCAGAAGCTGTTGAAAGACAAGACCAGTAACAGAGTACTGCTGTGCAAACAACCACCACAGCCTTTGGGGAATCTGGGATACACAACCAGCCATATTCATTGAAGCCACCTACGTGGGCTGTCTTGAAATACTAGCCTGCCTCCATCTTACGGAAGTTAATACATTACCTTTTGCTAGGGAACAAACCCACGTTCTCTGTTGACTTCAGGGTTACAAAAGAGGGTATCTGCTTCTCATCCTGAATTTTTAATCGGATAGGATGTCGGACTCCCCAAAATATTGACAAGATTCCTTCAATACATGGTTTGCTTCCTTCTCGCTGGGGGGGCAAAAAAAAGAGGAGTAAGGAGTGCTGCACAATAATGAAGTAATAATAATCGATTTCCCCTCAAAGTAACAAGAATATGATGAAATCGCTGAGGCCGTCACAGCCCTGGAAAAGGTCACTTGGAGAGGCTGTGTAATCTCCGTACTTAAGATACTTCCAAAACAGGTAGCTAAAGCCGCAGCTGACCTCATCTCAAGTCAGCATTAGTCTGACTTTGACCATGAGGTTTTCCAACCAACATGGCCATAATTCCATACAATCACAAGTCAAATCCTATTTGTTCTACTCGCATGACTAGCTTTTCTGAAAGCAGGGTGCTAAGAAGGTGATAAAGGGGAAGAACTACTGCCGGTAAAGGAGGAAGAAGCAGTTAATGAAATCGTCCTCGTTGATGCAGGGCACTGCATCAGACCAAAACACGTTCTTGGTCCCCGTTCTTGCTGATACAGAACTCTGTCACTGCAGAGTGAGCTGGGACAGAGAAGTGAGGACTGCCCATTTTCAGACCATTTTTGCTGATAATTGCTTTAATGTCCTTTTGGGTCTTCATATCAGCAAAGCAACAGAAACACAGCTTGTGAAGGAGAAGGAAGTTCAGACCTCTAAACCAGGGACTTCGCGGTATCAGAGACACCATTCATGCCTTCATCTGCCCTTCAGCTCCACAGGCCCTTAAGGTCTCCACAGAGGATGCATTCCCGGGGCTACGCTTAGGAGCATTTTCTCTGTAATGAAGGTTCACATTCGAGGAGAGAGTGGTAGTCTCTCCTTGACCTGAGTGACAGCAGTCCTGCAGTTACACACTGTGGGCTCAAGCTGAAGGAGCGGGGGGAACTGCACCCCACAGAAATATTTGCAGTACTACTCTCTCCCAGCTAACCATGTAAAACTTGAGAGATCAACCCAAAGAATGTTTTCCTGTGACACGCTAAGGAATGGGATGGCAAGGAGATCACACCATTTCTGCTCTCTTCTGCTCACAGCATTTGACTCTAGCACTTGCTGTGGTGTTTTTATTAGTGATATATATCTAATACACGAACACAGAACAGTCCTACGGTGTTCAGTCTAGCGACATTAAACAAAAGCACCCATTAGTGCTTTTCCTACTATTTCATTGTGCTTTTTGTATCATTTTTACATGGATCCTTACCTGATTATGTGACAGTTGCAGATTTTCTTGATCAGAATAGTAGGAGTTATAAGTTTTCAGAAGTGAACTGAGCTGCTCCCTAGAATAAAAGACCACAATGAAAAGAATAATTTTTAAACACCTCTATCACTGTAAAATCCAGGTGCGAAGTGGCAGAGTAACACCCTGTATCTGTGTCGCCCACTGCATCTTTGTACAGGTTTGTTAATGATTAATACATCATTTTCCGGGAGTAAAATTTTGTCAGAATACTGGGTTGCTTATAAGTTGCTTCTTTAAAGACGTGATACACAGAGGAAATTAGTTAGTCACAGCCTGACGTGACGTTAATAAAACTGTCCCAGAATAACTTGTACTTTGGACTTCTGTTAGTCATGAGGGAGAAGCAAACAGGAACAGCACTTCCATGCACCAGTGCGCAGATGATTTTAGTTAGGTTACAATCTGTAACCATTCCCTGCATGATGGCTTCCATTGGGTTTTAATATTTTTTCAGATACTGTTCTTATTTCAAAACACCTACAGTATGCCTAAACAAAACATTTCAGTTTCCTTCTGCTGGAAACCTAACAGCTTTGCAGTAAGTCTTGGCTCGGAGGAGAAAGGACGGAGATGAAGAGAACCTCTGCCAACAAGCAAGGATTATAAACCTGCCCATAATCTCGGATTTCAAACAGAAATTCATGATGCAACCAAAAAAAGGCAGCATAACATTCTGCTTTGAAAACACTCTGTTGAGGCAGGAAGGCAGTGTGAGGCATACTGGTGCTAATGATGTTTAAAACTTAGTATTTCAGAACCACCAGAGACAACTATGCCTGTCTCCATCCTTGATAAACTCACAACACTGCAGGAGAAGGTTTCATAAAGTGTTTCAAATTTGATGGAATTTCAAAATAACCAAATTAGAGCTACCGCACATCCCAGTTTCTAGGCCACAGCCACCGCCTCCTCTCTTTGCCAACTTTGTCGGGAAAGAAAGAACTTGAGCTACTGGATTTTAACTACGTGATTTCCAAACCTCCTGGGAAATTTCAGCAGCGACTGGGCTACTCAACAACCTGAAATCCTGAGCAGCCTGTGGGTGCACGGCCAGCGCTCCTGCAGCAGCCCAGGGGGGCTACAGTCGCAGCACAGGGCAACGCCGGCTCTCCGCTGACAGCCAGTGCAAATGCCGCTCCCACCTGAGCTAACGGCAACCGTGCTGTGGGCAGCCCACGTCGCTCACATGCCCATTCAGCCCTTGTAAACGGGTAAGAAGCAAGAAATGCCACGTTGCACAAACACAGGCTGGGGGACGATTCCTTCGGCACCGGCGCTGTGGAAAAGCACCTCCCGGTTACTGCTAAGCAGCTCCTGATCCCAAGTCAGCAGTGCCACGCTGTTGTACAAGAAGTAACCACCATTCAAGGAGATATACATGGGAATATCCTCTGCAGAGCAAGGCTGCTTGAAGTACAGCTCAAGGCTGAATTGGGTCTAAGTACTCTGCCTTCTTAGCACTACTTTTGAAGGAGGATACACTCCAAGTGGACAGAGTCATTTGAAGGAGGATACACTCCAAGTGGACAGAGTCTAAGGAGGAGCCCGCGGAGTGGTGAGTAGCATGAAGCGTGAAGACAAAATGCAAGTTGCAGCTCAGGCTAAGGAGGTCCGAAAAAACAACAGATGTAAGTAATATGTATTTCAGGACCATCAAAAATGAAACACTCTTCCCCACACGAATTAAATAGCAGAGATGATTTACATCGTAATTCAAGAAAGCAACTTCCACCAGCAGAGATAATTAAGCATGAGAAGCAATTGCACAGAAGCATACGAATTCTTCCTCACGGACAATCTTAAAGCACCAACTGAGATGACTAACAATCAAGATGGTTTTATGTTCTGTCTTGCAGTGGTGAGTGGAGACACCAAGTTTGCTTCCACACAGTGTCTATTATTTCCATGTTTTTGTCTACTATGAGATATTGTAACGGCCAAACCATAGGAAAAACAGATAGCATTTGCAAACTCTTCTCACAGTAAGTTCCACAGAGACCTACTGAAACTATTCAAGACCCACGTATTATCAGAAGTACTATTACAACTCCTACACCAATTTTAAGAAACAAAACCAAACCCCACCCCAAACCAAGAATTGACTTCTAGCACCGTCACTGAAAAACAAATCACACATGGGAATGACGCTCAGTAGAAATTACATTTCAATATTTCAACAGTCAGAGTTCACCAAGAACATCTAAGACATCATGTCAAAGGTGCAGGAATATACGGATCAAGACTATATGCAACATATTACACACCACCTTCTGTGAGAGATACGTTTAGAGAGGAACTTTACAGTACAGCCTTGGGGCATCAGAAACACTGGCATGAATAGTTTAAGCAGAATTTTTAACAGTCGTTTTCCTGTAACAGTCGGAACACACCCACGTCCCAGAACACGAGGACGTTATCAATGGTGACAGTGGCACCCTTATCAGAGATGACAAGCCTAAGAGTGATCTCTCCCCTCGGAATGGGATCAGCTTGTCCATCACTGCGAAGAAGTTCAGAAGGATATTTTCAGGGGCGAAATGAATATTATTTCATAGCATCTCTCTCTGATCAGATTGTGGCCCAATTTTCTCAAACTGACTGTTTAAATGGCTGCACAGTTGACTGTGTAAACTTACAAACTAAAAAAGTCAGTGTTGCTCAAGAGATCTCACCTAAGATATTAAGAAACTCCAAGAAATCAGTGCAAGAGAATAGGAGAAGGATGGATTACGCAAAGAAATACAAATCATGTTGGTTGGTAACTGCTATATATGATTTTAAGTGTACCAATTAGACAACAGAAGTATCTTCTCCTGGGACTGTCATAGTTTTACTCCAGCAGCATGCACCCTCTTCTGTGGCTTACGACAGACGCGCTCTTCTTCCACCTTCAGCCTCGCCTGTCTACAGTCTCTCTGAGAGCTCAAAGCAGGCACCTTACGCAGGACTGTGTTTCTCAGTCACCTCTCACCATTTATACATACCCAAAGCATCTGGACAACACGGTATCTCTGAATAACACTCAACAATAAGCAGAACTATCTCACGATGTGAGTCTCCACGCGGGATACGGATCCGTAGCACCCGCTTCTTCCTTCGGGGTGAGGCAGGCAGACATCTGACACCGCATCGAAGCAGAGTGCCCGAGCGGGACTGACGGACAGTGCCGCCCCAGAGCCCGACATGGAGACTGCTCAGCGGGAACATGGCCTTCCCCCAGGCTTGGCTGCTGACACACTGGAGAGGGAAGTTGGGGAGCAGGGGACTAGTTAACGTGTATATGCCGTGTTTGGGGCAGAGAGGCACGCAGAGTGTGCGAATGAAAAAACCGTATCCCTCCCTTGCTCCGCTTAATAAACTGAACCTGGCAGCCTCCTGTTGCCTGGCGAGCCTTTTCCCGAGGTGAGAAGGGAGAAGATAAACAGGGCTTTTACTGAGCAGGTAACATTAGGACAAGGGCTGCACCACTGAAATCAACAAGGTTAACAGCATTCCCTTCTAACACTCTGGATGTAAATTATTTACTTTGTTAACTTACTGCAACTCCCCAAAAATATTTTTGAGTGGCTTTATCAACAAAGTGCTGGGCTCCAAAACAGCATTTTCAACATTTGCTTCTACTCACTTAGACCTTAAATCCTAGTAATACAAGCAGTGAAAGCCTTTCTTTCCATTGTGTTGGAATAGCTCATTTCAGGTTCTGTGTGTCTTCTGAGCTATGAGGGATTGTATTCAGGTCATCCCATCAAAAGGGTAAGTTTTAACGGACTTAGATATGAATCAGATACAAGCGAAATTTTAATCATGCTGGCTCAAGGTAAGCATGATTAAGCACGTCGTGGCCTCATACACAGGCAAAATCCAGATGCAATGCAAGATTAATTTGCAAGTAGGAGATATGTAGTTTTATTTCACTGATGTTGTGACAGACCTGGTGATCCTGCTTGCGAAGTGCTTAAAACCTAAGTCTTCTAATACTTTGCAGCCTAATACCTTTGGCAATCATTTTATTGACAGCTGTTATTTTGCAAGCTTTTTCCAGGTAGGAATCTGGGGAGATCCATTCCCTGAAGACAGGTTAGGAATACATAAGGACTTAGGTCATACTGAGGCCCATCTATTACTCTTAGTCCATGTGGGCTGCAAAGGCAAATAAAATTACAGGCTAAAAGCACCAAGTTGTGTGGTAAGGGTTATCTGAGGCAGATTCTGTTTCTCAGAGCAAGCTCTGACGATTTTTACTTAGTTTCTTGCCTTCTCTGGAAAAACTTCCCATTAACCTCCACAGAAGTTAGCACAAATAAATCTTTCAGGTTTCAGTCTTGCATTAGTGCAACCAACGGTGACGAACCACACAAGCCATTAGAAAAGCCCTGAGGGAGAGATTTAACAGCAGCTCTCACTGACTCATTTGTCCTTGTGTAGTGGAGAGACATTAGAAAAGACCATCTTTCTTCTTTTAGCCCCAGAAAGGAGTAACACATGCATTAGCCTACTAGTTCCAGAATGAGTCTTACTGCAACGTATCTTCACTACGAAGGCCCAAAGACTGCCCTAACCAAGACACAGATGGTCATCTCTTCAGAGTTACGCTGCCAGAAAATCAGCAGCTCTGTTGTGTTGCAAGACTGTTCCTCACAGCACGGCTTTGTGACAACAGCCAAATGCAGCCATTAATGCAAGCCAAAGCTAAGTAACTGGTAGAACAACTTAGAGACAAACCCAAAATACTGCAGATTCACCCCTTCCTTCAGTAACGAAGGCAGGACACAAGGGAGCTGTAAGGTCAAATGCCCCAGTGGTAAACCACAACAGAGCCCAGATTGTGTTCACTCGAAACACTAACCCAGGACAAATCACCTGTGTCCTCTTCTCCCCCGAGCCCTATACACATTTATCCACAGATATTTATGGCAGTTATGCTTTAAGACACAACAGTTCAGCCAGCCAAATAATCCCACGTGCTTTGGTCAGCCTTTTTATCCAGCCATTGTGCAATTCTCCAACAGCAGGCTTGCCGTGTCAGCAAGATCTGCATGATAAAACTCGAAGAGGGGTAATGTAACAGCAGATTCAACGTATAGATGAGGGACGATAGTCTGGGAATTACATTGGAAGCAAACTTGAGCGCGTACGGATTACGTTCGTGATTATTAAAAGGCTTTTTTTTTTCGCAAGGCAAAGTAACTTGAACAGTACTTAAACCCACGACTGTAATGCAGAAGGGTCTCGACCAGGATCCACATTTCACCACTTGAACAGGCAAATATATAGGGGAATAAGAACCCAGAGACATTGGTTCATCTGGTACGTTTCCAAATGCTTTTGTATGCCAAGTATACGAAAGTGCACACAGATGAATTACCTCTGATACAAAAGCACTATGTCCCAATTAGCAGCAGTATAAAAGGAACAACTCTTTTGGAGAAGGGGAGGGATGTGCTTACTGCCTGCATGCTTTGGGCAAAGCTCCGACACCCTTCCTTGAAAGGGAGAAACGAACAGCACTGCTCATGCCACATATAGAAGTATCGGGGTTCAGGTGCAAATACCTATTGCAGCATGAGAAATTCTATCACAGGCCCCATCCCTGAGTGCATTTACAGTTAGCTTCTTCCCACAGGAACATCAAGAGGGATGGTAATGAAATGAGTAAAGAGCCCCCTCTTCCTGCTCCTGTGCTCTGGTTAACAAGGGAAAAATTCATCCCCCAAAAAAGGCACGGAGCTATATGCCAGGAAGCTCTGGGTTTATGGCACCATTAGGAAAAATTCCTACCAGTCAGATTTAACTGTGGAAAAGCATCCCACAAAATACACTGAGTGCAATTCCAAGCTTTTTAGAAGTAGGTTAAAGAACCACTTTCACTCGCCACAGAACAGAGTCAGCAGACCCAGCAGGTCTTTGTGCAAAGAAACGCTGCCATCTGGAACTACAGACCAAACCCCATGCCTCAAACAAGCAGAACTCAAGTTAAACACTGGAACTCATGTTCAATTCCAACAGATTTCAAAGATAGGAAGGTCATCTTCTCTAATTTTGAATTTTATTTCAGTATCCTCTAGAAGTGCTGTCCTACCTAATGAACAAAATCCACAGTCCAAAAGACTTAATGCTCTGTTCTTTGCAATCCATATAAAGGGCAACTTTGTTCTGTAGACACTTCACAGAAAGCAAGTTGTAGGATCTGCTGCTGCTATAGGAGCAGCCCTCTACAGGATCCCCTGTCAATGAACAACGGACTAACTTCAAAGAAAGCAGCAGTCATTAAATTTTTTTTTTTTTTTTAAATAATTTACCTGGTTATGAACTTCTCCTCATTGATGGAAATAGAAGGTAGGTGCTGTGCTTTCATAGTCACTCTCTTCATTTATTCCGAAGAGATGAATCTAAACAAAAAGTAAAAAAAAATTCATATCCCCTAATGCCACTAAGAAAGACTAAATGGTAAACACAACAGCAAAGCCTTAGTTTGCCAGGTGAAACAGGCTCAGACACTCAAGCTAAGGGCTAACTATACCATATTCTGACTACTTTGTACTTAGCCATAATACCCAAATATTTCCCACTCCTAGTAAAAAAAGACGTAAGCCATTCCCACCAAGTATATCACAGTACCTTCAATCCCAAGTACTACATATACCAGGACTTTCTTAAGTAGTTTCAGGACTACTCCACACCACTATGACACTATGATTATGCTTCACTTGTTAGTAGACTGACACTGCAACCCATTTACTGGTTAGGATTCATTTGTTAATTATGGATAGAGCATTGCCCAGGGTCACCAAAAAAAAAGTGACTCAGCAAACCACCCTTAAACAGGTTCATAAAACTACACAAGAGGAGGAGAAGTGTTGATCACTGGCAGAGTCCTGTAGCACACAAAGAAAGCAGCTGAGATATTAAAGAGAGAACAAGGCTATAATTAAAGTGATGTAGCAATATAATTTACAGATCACCATGTAGTGATTCCAGCATTTGGTGTAGGCAGCAAGCCAGACCCATGAGACTCCAACAAAGCATTCTTGAATAAGCTTAATTATGGAGTCTTGGCTGCTTTCATTCCCCCTCAGGTACTAGAAGAAAAGGCAGACTGGGGAAAGTAAATGAAGAGACTCAGAGACTCGAGATAGACAACTGATACTGCACTGAACAAATTTAGTCTCAGCCCAAGAAGTGGCATCACACAGATGGGTGGAAAAAAAGAAACCCCACAGAAAGCAGTAAAATCTCCAAGGACTGCATCGCAAGTTGATTATTCCGCTTTTATGTCTCTCTTACTCGACGACAGAGGAATTAGCCTGACAGCACTTGATGACCGTTCTCCCTTACGCCAGGAGATTGACTCGAGTCTGACTTCAGACTGCATGGGACAGAGCCCGGTCAAGGACATCAGGAAAGTAGTTGATTGTCTACAGTACTAATGACAAGTAGCCTTCAGAAAAACCAATTTAGAAAAGAAATTCAAGCTTGAAAAGATCATGGCTAGCTAAAGAGTAGGTGCCTAGCTTCTGTGCAAATGATCCTACTCTACTGAGCTTCTTTTTTAGAGCGAGTTACATAAAGTTTCCATAGTCATAGATAAACGACTTCTAAAAAGATATACGTGGAAAACCGAGACGTTTTGCATAAAAACACGTTATCTTCAACCTACAAAACATATAGGAAATTATCGCACAACCTCTAAAACCAGAGTGCACTATCAAAACAAGCTTCACGCGAGCAGCTGGGATTTCTAACTGCGCTTGATCAATAGCTCACTGAAAAGAGCAGAAGGATCCCACATAGCCATTGTCCTTTGGGTGACATCCATCACGGCAAAAACGTACCTGAAAGCCAAAAAAGCCCAGGCACTTCTGTACAGACATGAGTTCGTATATAAGGAAGAGACTGCTGTACACCAGTATAATAGTGTTGTTTCTTTGAAATGAGTTCAGTAACCATTGGCCACACCTTGAAATCTGCTTTTCTGTGATTTACTAATACCTCTAACTGAAGCAACTGCCTATGCCAATGTAATTTCAAAACAACTTTGAAAGATGCAGAGGAGTTTATGTACATTGGCACCTGCATAACTGGATATACACTTAAGCTTCCTCCCACCCGTCAGGAAAAAACATGTTAAGAAGAGCAGATAGTCGAGTCACCACTATTAAACGCAGAGCAGCGACTCTAACAAGCTCTAGCCGCGATTCATTGCTCACGGTTGCATTCTTTTCCATAGAATTTGACCTTAAAATTATTCATATGAAAGAAAAAGCTGATCTCTACAGATTGAGAGAAGGGATCTTTACACATGAACGTAAAAAAAAAAGATTATCATGGAACTACCCGTTTTGTTACACGGTGAATGGCTCTTAGTAAATTATTTGCCTTAAAAACCTTGAGCATATCTTCAATCAGCTGGATACCATTAAAATGCTGACAATGAAACAAACTGGACGAGTAGCTGGTGATGGGAACAAGTCTTCACCAACGCCTCCCCCTTTTCTCTCCCTCGCTGCCCGATGAGCCTGGACAAAGACTGGCCTTTTCTCCTATCGCTGGCGCAGAAGCACAAAAAAATGCTCCTTACGTTTTCCTCAGTTTTGTGACCAGTTCTGCTTATCAGACTTGTACAAAACATTTCCACACCACCAGCTCACCCTGGAGATAAAACACTTCTCGATGTACCCTTCCCATAGGCGCGTTCTGGCCACACGCGTCCTGCGGCCCTTATTTTCAGTTAACCCTGAAACCTGCGAGTTGAGAACGTGAAGTGACTTCCCCAGCACAATTACTAGACACTACAAATGCCAGTATATTTACACTGGCACTCCGTTAGTCCGCAAAGCTGTCACATTTTCTATCACTTCCCAGTACTTCATTGTTTTCCACGTCACTTCCCTGTAGCTCTTTTGAGGAAGCAAACAGGACAACTGAAGTGTGTTTTTTCCATTGTCCCCTTTGATTTCAACTAACAAAAATGTGCTAATTTTTCAGCTCTTCCAATAGTATATGATTGTGGCTGCCTATTCAAAGCTATCTTCTGACTTGTTTAGTGTCAGGCAGGCATCTTCAGCATCACGTTGAACTGGACTAGAAGCACAGAATTCTCTCAGATAGTTGAGACCTTCAAAGTGGGACCTCGGCTGGACTAACTTCCTGACCGGAGACTTAACCAAGAACAAACTTAATGCTGAGAGGAAGACTGACTGTAAGCCTAAAATACTTCTGGAAGGAAAGAAAAGAAACAGAAGGGAAAGACAGGAGTAAATCAGAAGTGGGGCAGGTGCAAAATGAGCAACTCTAGAGGAAGATTTCAAGTATTGGAGAAGTCTAGGAAAAGGAAATGGAAGAATCACCACCGCACAATCCCAAAGCTGCGAGAGGATCCACAGCCACATCAGGGCACAAGACAAATCTCACAGAGATAGCGAACTTTACTTTTCTTTAAGATTTACGTCTTACCTGAAACGGTTTTTCCAATAAAAAGTCAAAGTGTTAGTGGAGACACAGATGAGAGAACTTCTTCAATTTTATTAAGCAGAGTGATTTTTAAGTTTTGCTTAAGGGGACAGCACAGGGACAGGAGAGTGGAGGAATGACAAAGCAAAGGTAAGAGCAAACAGCCACGCAGATTTTTACACAAGGATGAAAGGAGGCAACTGTAGAGGAGGGCTGGAAGGAGAGGGACACTCAACATCCAGAGTTGAGCCACGCAAGAGCAGCAAAGCAGCATTTAAATTTGTAACAGCCTGGACGTGCTTTTTGGCGCATCCATATATTAAGATAGGAACTGCAGAGCAAGCCGTGTGCTATGCAGAGGTCTGACCAGCGCTAAGAAAAACTAAAAACCCAAACCTCCCCAAAGATTTCTAGATTTTTTTACCCAGCGCTTCCCAAAGCTGTTCCAAAACCACAGAAATTCAGGATGGGGTGAACCTTCTCATATATAAACCACAAGGCTCAGCTATCTATTAACATAGCTGCCGACAACATATGCATCTAATATCTTGTACAGCACAAAGAGCTTTGCACTGTAGGCACAATAGCACATATACCTAAGTCATTTTCTAAACTCAGAAGTGTCTGGTATTTAGCAAAATTTTGGACCACTATCTGTTTCTATAAAAGAGAGTTTAGGATTTATTTACATCCATAAGAAATTCAGTGTCAGCAGAATAATTTTACTAGTCTTCACTTAGTCACATGCTCTAGTTATATAAGCCTTCATGTTGGGTTTTACATTGGTGTGTTTTTTGGTAGGGTTTTTTTTTTGTTTGGTTGGTTTTGGGTTTTTTTGGTGGTTTTTGTTTGTTTGTTTAACTTAAATGTCCTCATCACCAAAGCAAAGGTCTAATCAAAAGAAAGTACTTATTGCAAACACTTGCATTTTCCCCACTGAAATCAGGGGGGCTTTTTTCTTTGTCTTTACACTTCTTTTCAAAAATTAACTGCTACAGTACAGAGCAGTAGCAGCACTACTTGAATATAAAACACGGTGTAACCCCTCTGCTCAGGCACGTTCAGAATGGGCTTTTATTACTGAAACCAAAAGTAAGTTGGTATTTATCTGTGAACATGGCCCCTTAACTTTGAGTCACAAAGAGATACGAGCTCCCTCCCCTCACACAAACGATGATGACAGAGCAGGGCTTGCACCAAATGTATTTCAAACACTAAGTAATCCACTATTATGAAGATAAGTTACTTTCTATTTCAGGTCGCTTCGGAAAGATCACTTTTACCCGCCAAAAAGAACAGACAAGGTCACCGACATAACCTTTTAAATCACACTGGTGACTGAATGAAGGGCAGCAAAGGCTTACGCCCATGTACACACTGAGCAGCAGCACTACCTGTTATCTGCCTGTTTTAATCCCAACTCTGATTCACTCAAAGCCACCTCCAGATTTAGAAACTTCTTCGCCGAGAATTTCTGACCGAACATTTCTCCTTCCCTCCGGCACCCTAATCACCCGAAAGGAATTTGACTCGAGTTCTGGGTGACTGCGAAGGACCTTGCTTTCTACTGACACTGCAGGTTACACAGCAAACAGAAGAACAGCTCCGGCTTTACATTTCACTTACCTGTACGTATGATCAGAGAAGGAGAAGCAGAGAAGGAATTTCACATACCTTACACTGAGCCCTGGACAAGGCATGACAGCGTTGCACTGGCTGACAGCTACCTCTGCTACTTCATGGAACCCACAGAGCTGTTAATTACTATTTTGCTTAACAAACTGGGAGTGCTAGAAACCCAGGACACTCCCCGCACCTCGGTGCATGTCGGGAATATATACCTACCCACTTTCCTTCCTCCGAGCGGCTGACAGGAGCGCTCCCTTAGTCACGGTTACACCTACGGGGAGGCTCCAGTTAACACTTTAATCACTAACTTTATAATGAGCGGCAACCTGCTGACTCTTGTAATTATTTGCTGACAGGGCACACCCTGAAACATCCTGTGCTGAAAGCACTGCTACGCTTTAACCTCGTCTTGTCTGTTTTCTAATCCATAGGATAAAGGCATTTTTTCTTCTCCAGATATACGCCCGTCTTGAGTGTTTAGTGGAACAACCAATACATACAATCAGATCCTGCCTAAGTATGAATACATGGATTTATAACATTATGACAAAAATTCTGACAACACAACTTGATCACTTAATCACATACAACTGTATATTCAATCTTTTGCTTAACTGTCTAATAGCCTTATGAATATCATTCATTGGGCAAGAGCTGTGTCTGTAAGAGAGAATGCATCGCTGCTTAGCTTAAATGCTCAGCAGCTAATAGTATAAGCAGATGTTTAAGCCGTAAAAAATACTTGAACCAACACATACCTACCAAATTCCTACTGTTTGCCCATCCATTTATAGCAAACAATTTATTCACAGGATCAAGCCTAAAACTGTTAAGTTATAGGGCCACAGAGAGAAAAGCATGAAAAACACTGAGCCTGAATTTTACTTCATACCCATCTTATTGCACTGTGATTTATATCAAGTTACTTCTCCTTTATATATTTTTATGTTAGGGAGAAGCAGAACAGACCCATAAATATCCGATTCTTGATCACATCATTATCCTCCGGTGTACTCAAAAGCTTGACTTAATGCTGTACACACAACACAATATACTCGATACTTGAGATTACAGTTTATAGTGCAGTTTCCAGCTCTGCACCTGGAAAATGTTTAAATAAAGATTTCATTGGTGTATATATAACTTTGAGAAGTCCCTCAAAACACAGGAAGGAGTCAACAAATAAGATTTTTACTCAATTCACAACAGCATAGAAGCTCTGTGCTGTGGTGGGCTTGGAGCTTCATGCCAAGCTCAACCTTTGGAGCTGCTCCATCTCTTCTGCAGTTGTTTAACACAAATGCATACTACTTCCCAACTTGTTTAAAACCAGAGGTTTGATTTTTTTTCTGTCACAGCTTCAGACACTTGAGCACTCTGCCTGACACTCTTGGATCAGAGAGCTACAGCAGAGAGTAGGAAGAGCCTGGCACCTTCAAGTCTCTAAACCAAGATAACGTCAAATCTATCTGTTTCTGACAAGTATGCCACCCTGCTGGACAGTTACATTGTAAAGCTGTTAGGTACCAGGAGATACCCCTATATTTTTAGAACTGAAGACCACATTATTAACTGACAACAGGGCAATGTGATGTTAACCCTTCAGCGTAACTCAAGCTTCATCCTGACTCCCAACTTTTAAGGTTTTGTTTGTTTTTTTAAGATTAATCTAAGTTTTCTCAGGATAGCTTTTTTAAGTTTGTAATCGAATTTTGAAAACCCAATGCTTAAATTACTTGGACTCATGCAAAGGCATCTCAGTAAGAATTTAATACAATAAAGCAGTAAAAAACTCAATTGTAATAAAGGACTAAAGTTCTCATTTCCAGTTTAACCAGGTGTGCTGATTTTTACATTGGCTTACTGAACATGGCTCACGTTTATTTGTAGTTTTCACTCTCACACTTCAACTACTACCGATGGCCTAGTTCTGACCTCATTTCAGTCATACACAATTACCTGATAAGTACTTTGTGGAGACTGGTCAGTGCAGACTAGGAATCACATCAGAGAGGAAAAAAACCCAAACCCAAGGTCTTTAGGGCCACATAGCAGAAAAAAGTTCACTCTAAACTCCACGAAAGAGAATGCTTCTACTCCTTTCATAGTAAATAATCAATGCACCGGGACCATTATTTTTTCATCTTTAAATGATAAACGTAACTTATATGCCCTGGAAATCGAAGAACAAGTCACAACTTGGTTATATTATTTCACTCCTTAAATGAAAGGGTAGTGATGATTTGTTTAGAACACGCAGGGAATGTGATGCTCCTTGAATCTTCAAAGGCTGTGTTACATTTCTGGCTCCTTGCATGATTAATATTCAAATAATGTTAAGTTAATAAGTAACAGGAAGTTGGAGTTCAGCTGTTTACCAACTTGGCCTCAAATCATTAACAAACAGTCTGCTAAAGCTAGAGGAACATCTCAATCAGAAAAAACTAAGAGACTGCTGTTCTATTTTTGTAGTGCGCAATCATAATAAGCAGGCTGGCCACAGCAAGATCGTACATGCACACTGGACTTCAGTGGAAGTGTTTTGATATACACAACAAAATATACATGAGCTCACAACACATTTCTGTGCTTTATAGTGAGAAGGAAAATCCCTAATATTGCTTGCAAACAGCTGTTTCGGGACAACTTCAGATCATTAACTCCAAACATGGAAAATTCTTCTTGGACTTTCTGAGCCAGCTACTGCAACGCAAAGGCAGAGCCTCAACTGACAATATCTGAAACGAACAGAAAACAAGTGATCGATTCATTCCTTTATATTACAAACGTTACCAAGAGGATTGTGTTGATAATAGCGACAAATCAAGGCATTTAGAAACAAGTGGATTTACCCTGCCAAGGACCTCCCATTCTTTCGCAAGATTATTTTCTGTCATGACACCGAAGTGCCAACAGCAATACTTGTGTGCCAGGACATGTTTTGCAGACACAACTGATAAGCATTGAAAACAGGAACTAGGAAACAGATGATCAGCTCAAATAATTAAATAGGCATTGCACACATCCACTACAATGTCTTGTTATCTATCATGGGCCATAATCCCTTACACACACTATTTAGTGAATTTTGGGGGCCACAAGTTTTTAAGGAATAGAAAAGAAACAGAGCTGGTATTTGCAGCAGCCCATGTGCTAAAGGCTATGGTTTCTGACACCATTTAAAGAGCTGGAACTTCCCAGATACTGACCTTAGCCTGCATGAAAAGCAGCTTGCTGATATCACTGCTTTTATCTTCACGAGTCACTGTTATAGGGACAGATGTTACCTAAGCATCTGAAATACTGTTTCATACATCATGGCTCGTCATCAATTATATACACCCATTAAATCATCCATTTGATATTATAGAGCTTTGTAAGTCCATACAAGGATTTTCATTGCCTGGAGCTACAAAATATTATAAAGGGCAGAACCAAAGGGAACTGCCCTGTCCAAAAGAGCTACAATCACACAGCTTTTCACTCCCATTAGAGCTCAACCATGAATAAAATCACCACCTCACCACACCCAGCCAATTTACACAGCATTTACAAGCCTTAATGCTTCCACACTTACGGTTTCCAGCTCCAGATTGTCCTCAAATCCAAAGTTTTCTTTAAAACATCACTTCCTTAGATTTCTTTCTACATGTCACTCTTTATCTGGCCTCTTCTGTATGCAAGATACAAAAAACCTGATCTGCCTTTCTTTTGAGAGCCACAATCAAGAGTCCACAACCTCCTCTTCCCCTCCCCAACCATCCTCTATCCTTCCTATCATTTACAATATAGGATCCTTTTATGCTCAGGTAACTCCTCTCTAATGGTCAGTTGAGGGTCATGTGACTGTAGCACCTGACTCCCATTTCCAATATGCTAATGATTCTTCTTTAATTACTTCTTTCCTAAAGCAGTTAAGTCATAATGTGGACTGTCCCCTATTTTATATTCCTTTTAAAAATATCAGTTCAATAATCTTCACAATAAAAGTCAGACTAAATCTAAACTAAAGTTTTGAGGAAGCTTCAGATCTTAATCCTGACTCGAAGCTACTAGCATTGTTGCTGTGAAGGCGTACCCGCCTGCTGCCCTTGGAACTGCCCTTGCAAACCAACCAGTTATTTTTTCCCTTACTTCTATACTTGCCTTTAGATTGTGTACAAATGGGAAGATTCGATTTGCAGTGTTGTATGACTATTTGAGAGGGGACAACTATTGTGCCCAAATCTTCCCCATTCTCCTCACCCTAAGATGTCCTAAATCGTAAAGCAAACATCAGCAATAACTCTAATTCCAATATATTTTGCATCACATATGTATGCAAGTCTGTATTTTCTCTACGAACTCAGTGAAGAAACAGGAAATGTCTCGGCTCCACTGAAGATCAGTCCTAGAGTCACGTTATAAATACGTGAACCTTATACAAAAAAGTCTACCAGTAATCAGTCTGAGTTTAATTTCTAATGAACACAATGCAAATCAGACATTGTTTTCTTGACTTTGCTGCAGCACACGGCACCGTGTTATGAAATGATTAAGCGTCTCTAGCATACGGTCTGCAGCGCTGTCCGAAGCCCTGTTGAAGGTGCCTGCGTGTTACTGAATTCAAGGCGATACGGGAGACTGTTTACTGTCATGCTGTCAGTGTTCCCCACCCTACCGGTCAGACCGTCAAAGATATTATCTCTTTTTCCTCAGGCTTTCATCTTCTGAAAATTTACACAGTTTCATACCCTGAGATGCTCTGAGCACACGCAAGTCTCTGGCAAATTCTTGAGAAGAGCTCGGCAGCAAATTTTTTTCTGCGTAAACTGCAAGATAGATTTGAAAAAAAAGTTTGAGGTAAACTGCACTTCAGGAATGTCACTACTATATAGTGTACTACCTAAATGCAGTGTAGTGTACTACTAGACTAAGATAAATATTCTTGCTTCATAGCAACTGATGCTGAGTCATAATTACAAAGCATGTTAAATTAGCTTAATGCTAGGCTGGATATGGGTTAAAGAGCAGTCATGTAAATACCTTGCCATTGTCTATGTAAACACTTCAGTGGTTAAAAAAAGTAGCCCAGATACCTAGTTACCATTCTCTTCACACTTGCTAACAGAAAGTACAAGTTTCTCACACAATACTCTGCTCTGGGGCCCTAAATGGAAGTCACTTTAAGACAGAATGACAACCTGTGCTAGCCAGCATTGCTGGAACTTACAAACTTCAAGAAAATGGTAAGGATGAGAGA